AATAACCTAGACTAGGATCACTCCTCACATCAAGGGCAATTTAGATGTGTATGGAATTGATGATGTTCTCCTAAAATTAGGGATTTGGTTCACAAAAAAAAAAAAAAACCCTTACAATGATTCTAGAACAATGGGGCAAAAGACAAAAGAACTAAAAAAACAAAATGACACCGAACAAAAAAAAATGTTATCTAAATGGCCCTTATAGTAATTCGGATCTAGAAAAGGTTATGGAATCTCAAAAACAATCTAAAGATGATATGAGTGAACATGAAAGGAGAATTAAGATTAAAAGATAAGATCAATTATGAAAATGCCAAAGTCGATATGACAAGCCTAAAATGATTTTGATGGGTGATCACATGATCCCGAGTCTATATAGTTACGAACACCTTTTGAGCCTTTTTATATCTTTTTATTCATTAGCCAAAGCCTTAGCCTACATTACATGCCTTCAAAAGCCTTTTCTAATTAAGATGACTTATTTCATGTTGATAAGCTTTAACTTCGAACGAGAAGAAGAAAAACATTAAAAAGTATATATTTTGCTTGTGCATCAAAAATCATTATTCATAGCATTGGATTATGAGTTCTACATCAAATGTATGAGGGCGAGGAAGAAATGAAATCAAGATCTTTATAGAAAAAACTAATTTAAGCCTAATTTTTTTGGAAAGCCTTACCATTTGAGCCTACTTTTTTTGAAAAGCCTTTAAGTCCATGAAACTTATTTTTATTTAATTCTCTTGAAAAGCCTTTGAGTCCATAAAATTTATTGAATGTTAGTGTAGGAGTCCAAGATTCAATCTGTTTGGATGATCTAATATATTATATTATTACATTTTTAATATCAATGAAAAAATCTTTCTATTAATTATTGTTATTCATAATTTAATAGAATTAGATAAAAGTTCATATGATATGTATTGCATTAATAATTGATTAATAAATGAAGTAAACATCAATACATTAAGATAATATCATTAAATATCCCAAGTCATAGTGTTATCGGTATTGGACATTGATAATATGTGATAAGACTTGTGAGTGCTATACTTTTGCTATAAGATAACAATAAGAGATCTCACACCTACTAGTATAATGATGCCAAACTAAGCACTCGGTTGAATAATGTTAGAGAATATATCATTGAACGTGACTTACCATGAAATCCCATTTGATATTATCTATGGGAATCTCATAAAGATTGGTACAAATACTCATTTGACTTGAAGTCATCATGTTTATCTTATTAGAGAATTAGTGTACTTTGACATTCATTTTGATAGGCTCGGTAAAGAACTATCTCGTGGGCGATTCATTGGGTACATTAAGAATATAATAGAGATAGGTGGATGATCGAGACGGGACATAACATTCCTTATATCCTAAAGAAGTTATCACATTACATTTCGATGAATGTTTACTCGAGAATCCGTGACTATAGTGGAAGTATATCGATAGAGCATATTTAGTTTACTTAAAAGCTAAGATATTTAAAGATAAAAAAAAACTTACATAATCATAATCGGATAGATAATAAACCAAGTTCAAGATCATACTGTGATAAATTGACATGAGGATTGAATTTTATGGAAACCATACTTATGGAAGGTTATCAAAGATTAAGTAATCCTTCTAAAGAATTAGATTGTCATGATGTCTTGCTAGAAGACAATCTTGATTATGTATTAAGAGATAAAAGAAACATTTTTTATATTTTTTTGATACATTGCCGGTATATCTAGGAGCCAATTGAGTTATACGCATAAGTTTAAACATTCATATGGAAAAAGGAGAAGTGAAAATTTTGAAAAAAGTTTTCTATTTTAGAAATCAACTACCTATTTTAGAAAATTTTCCTTATTTGAAAATCAATTTTCAAATTTGAAAATCGATTACCTAAATAGAAATCATTTTTCCAATTTAGGTTTAAGGATAACTTGAAACATTATTTTCTAATACGAGCCTCACTAAAAATACCTAACCAAATTTATTTACATAGTCCAAATTAATTAGCAAATAATTGAGCCAAAGAAGTTTGGATCAATAGGCTTAAATAAAAGCTTGCAAAATATTTTTGGTGGATGGATAATTTTGAGCATTAAAAGGATAAGACTCGGGCTTTATATGGATAAAGTCAAATAAAGCCCACATAAATTGCAACTCCTTATCTTAGAAGGACTTGATATATATGTATATATATATATATATATATATATATATATATATATATATAGGGGGAGAGAGAGAGAGAGAGAGAGAGAGAGAGAGAGAGAGAGAGAGAGATAACAATAATTAATTTAAGAGTTAGAAAAGAAAAGTACATCTCTTTCAAAAGGAAAAAGTTACCGCAATCTGTTTCTCTATAATTTGTGTAAACCCTTATGAGATTTCTTTGAGAGAAAAACTATACATAGCAGAAAAGGTTGAAGCTAGCACTCTACGATTTCGTCACTTCTTATATGGTTGTTTAAACTACGTAGATCATCAACGGAGGCTATATGTTAGGATCTGTTCTTTTTACAAATTGAATTATATGCTACAAAAGGTAGCTCTTAATCATCTTGTTTCTAACATAGTTAGTTGATTCAAAAGTTGATCTTGAAAGTTTTTTAAAAAAGGAGAACAAATGTTTTTATTTATTTTGCATCTTCATAAGATGCATAATCCTTTATTTGAGTATTTCACTTCATTTGTTTCAACATTCGACACTTATTTTTTTAAAAAAAAGATTTCTCTCCAAATATTTATGTGATTCGAATACATTTCATTTATTTAGCTTAAAAAAGGTCACTTTGAGGATTGCATCACAACATTTACATGTTGTGTTTTGGCTTTCAACCAAATGAATCAAATATTTTCTTTAATGGAATTATATTCTTGTAAACATCTCTATGATTTCTCTTGAATAATTCAATTTACTTTGATATAAATTATTCAAATATACGACCTCATTCATGAAAGTCAAAATAACAAAAAATTGAGTCTTTAAAAAAATCAAAATCAAAATCAAATCAAATTAGATTGACTTAATTTTTATCCGGAATAATAAAGAGATCATTCGAGTTATGGCTAAATCTATTAGAGCAATCATTTCTACTTTGCTTATCTTATTCTTGTTTTGCCCATCATAACATGATTTGCTCTTTTTTCCTTTTAAAATAACATGATTTCCATAAATATTATCAATCCGTATAAAGCTTTTTCTTTGGTCTTATTCACGATCCTATGATTGACATCATTTATGAAATGTAATGATGCATCAAATCGATGAATGATAATATGATAAGAGTTTTAATTAAACTTGGTAGACATGAAGGCTTTCTTTGTGAAACTTGTCACAAGATCTTTCCCGATGAATTAAGGATATCTTAATATTTTTTTCGGCTACATTTTTTGATATGTAGTTCAAAAACTTAAGGTCAGTTCTTTAGGAGCACGAAAGAATGAATAATTGCATACCTAAGCATAAGAGTAAATCCCATTCGGATGACATGAACGATAGGCTAATTAAAAATTTTTTAAAAAACATAATCGGAGGACATTTGATTAAATAGATAAATATTAGCAAGAGAACCTAGCCTAAAACCTCAAGCCTACTCGGATGGTGATGGCATGCAAATAAAGAGAAGAGGGGAAAGTTTATGTTTTGGTAATGGAAAATTATGTTTCTTCAATAACAATAAGGCATGTCATTTGTTGCCCTCACGTATTGCCAAGGGAAAGTTACTTGTTTTTCCTCGGGGATGGTTATATGTATTACTTAATTGCTAAGGAAAGGTCACCAGTTTGACCTCGAGGATGGTTACCCGCACTAACCAATTGGTAAGAGAAGGTCAATTTTTTTTTTTTTTTAACCTTAGGGGTAGTTACCCATATTAATCAATTGCTAAGGGAAGATAATCTCTTTGACCTCGGAGATGGTTACTCCGTATTAAGTAATTACCAAAGGAAGGTCACCTATTTGACCTCGGAGATGGTTACTCCCATTAACTAATTTCGGAAGGAAGGTCACCTATTTGACCTTGGGGAAGGTTATCCATATTAACTAATTGTCAAGGAAAGGTCACCTTTCTAACCTCGGGGATGATTATCCGTATTAACCAATTGTTAAGGAAATACACCTTTTTGACATTGAAGGTGGTTATCCGTATTAACTAATTATCAAGGGAAGGTTGCCTCTTTGACCTCATGGATAATTATCTATATTAACTAATTACTAAAGGAAGGTCACTTGTTTGACCTCGGAGATGGTTATCCATATTAACCAATTGCCAAAGGAAGGTCACCTGTTTGACCTCAATGATGGTTATCCGTATTAATCAAATGTCAAGAGAAGTTCACCTCTTTGATCTCATGGATGGTTATCCATATTAACTTAGGTTTTGAGGGAGGTCACCCACAATTAACTAGTGATGTAAGAACAATCATTCATCAACTGACTTTGCCATTTGGTTTGTTTATTTGGTTATTATTCTTTTTGTTTGCCACTTTTTTTATGATCTTCTTTATAAGCCTACTATGCTAAGCCAAAGAAAAACATCATTTTTCAATGGCTCCACTCGTAAGTATTGTAAAGAGAAAGCAATCGTTAGCATCTAAAAATTACCGATTTATTTTTCTTTATGTTTTAAAACAAAATAGAAACATAAAGAAATGAGAAAATAATTGAGGGATGCAACGAAGAAATTAGAAGAAAAGGATCAAAATAAAAAAACCTAAAAGATGATGGACCAAACTAAAATTTAGTAAAAAAACCTTAAAAATCAATATAAAAACTCCACTTTCTCATCCCTCACTAGCCATACACACACTCTCTAGAAAATCCAGACCAGCCATACACACTCCCTCCGAAATTTCAACCAATCGCCACCTCTCATCGTTCGGCCAACCACCGGAGCGACCCCTCGTCCAACCATTCCTCCCGATTATGCCACCGACTAACATCTAGCCATACCTCTCGATCATGCCATCCACATAGTAGAAGCTAAGATCGATCATGCCGATAGCGATCCGACACTCGTCCACGCAGCAGCGGCCATCACGGATCGTGCCAACAACCATCCGACGTCATCCATGCAATAAAAGCCACCGCGTAGCAACAACCACTTGATCCGGATTAGTAATCGGATTCCATCCAAGAAGAACAAGCAGCTACTCGATTTAGCAACGGTCGTTCGATCTAGCGAGTAGCCTCCCGATCCGGTCATTGGCAGTACGTCCAATCTAGCAGACGACCTCCGATCCGATCACCAAAAGCCACCTTGCCTCACATCGAATCCAAATCTAACAATAGGTAACCATCTTTTCTTTTCAATTGATCGAATAACGGGTCTCCATTAGGGTTGAAAAGTTGGAAGTAACGTCATTTTGAGTGTAAAAAAATTCCTTTGGCTTTTTCTCATTGTTTTTTAACAAGTAATTTATTCTTAATCCTTAAATTTAATTTGTATTTGTATAATTGTAAATTAATTAAATTACTAGTGTAGTTATGTGGTTGTTAATTGAAGTGGTTAGGATACACCATAATGTATGGAGCTCGTAAAAAGGGTCGGAGACCCTGTGTAATATCGAGGTGGAATAAAGGACTAATTAATCTGGAATTATCTTTTTTGTTGCTTTTGTGTGATTGAATTGTGTTGGTCCAAATCTTGTTTTTGGATCATTTTAGTCGATGGTAATATTAAATCGTTCCTGTGTCGATTTGCTTAAAAAATGTGATTCTTGAATTATGTCGAGTTCAAACCCCTTTTTTGGACCATTTTTGTCAATTGTAATGATTAATTTTGATATTGTTGCTAATTTGCTTTAAAAATATGATTCTTGAGTCGAGTCGGTCTAAACTCTACATCTAGACCATCTTTGCCAATTGTGATGGTTAATTTGACACTATCATCAATTTGTCTAAAAATGTGATGTTTGAGTTATGTTGGTTCAAACCTCCATTTGGATCATTTTTATCGTTTTTACCTAAAGCTTCTTCTTAAAAAAATCATGACTTTAAAGTCATGTCGGTCTACACTTTGGTTCGGACTATTCATGTTAACATTGCCTAACGTGCCAATTTTATTTGCCACATTCATTTGCCTTGCGTTTGAAAATCACGACAATTGAAGCCATGTTTGTCCGAATCTTGTTTTTGGATCGTTTTTGTCAATTTTGATGAGTTTGACAATTTGCTTGAAAATTTAGGATTTGAAGTTGTGTCGGTCTAAACCCTATTTTCGGACTATTTTTTTTATTTTTTTTATATCTATTGTGTGAGTTTTAATTTTAAATTTATTACATTTTAAAATGAGGGTAAGATATTTGATCTATCAAGTCTCGAATCACTCGTCCAATTGATAAAATTTTAAGAATAGACACATATTTTCATCATAAAAAAAATCATTTTATATTTATATGCAATACAACTTGTACAAGATAAAATGATTTTAATGTTTACGACACGCAACAAATTATTTACCTATAACTCTGAAGAAACCAGTCATATATTTTCATAATACTCATGATGACGACTCTATTATTTTTACTCATTCTTGTTTTCCAAAGTCATCGACTCGCCCAGTCGTCGCCCTTGCAACACCTACGAATTATTCAAATTATATCAATTTTTGTAAATTTCTAGGCTTGAGAATGTACGGTCAAGACCAAGTCTTGGCGTGATGTTAAGGAACGCAGACAGCAACTTTGGATCTGACAGGATCTGACAGAGAAAAGATCTGCGTCAAAATCCATCCATTATGCTTTTGAAAGCTAATCCATCCACGCGGAGGCCTTATTTATGATTAAGAAACCAAAAATTTATGTTTTACCTCTTCATGTCCGCGTTAGAACAGACCCTTTCTTTTTTCCTCCACACGTGCATGGTCCTCCCACTACTCTCACCTCTCTAATTTCAATTCCGGGTCACAGCCATGAGGTCAGCCACTGAACTTGAAATGATAGACTTCCTATCGGAATAAATTAAAATTAGTTTCTTTAGTTTTACAAAAAATAAATTAAATAATTCTTGTAATCATGAAAATTAATTACTTAATTCTTTTTTTATTTTTAATTAATTATTTTTTAAAAAAATAATAAAATAATAATATAAAAAGATTTAATGAGAAAAAATAATTTTTTTAAAAAAATATTTAATTAAATATGATCAATATTGATCAATAGATGAAATAATTAGATTTTAAAATTGAAAGAATTATTTAATTCATTTTGTAAAACTAAATAAACTAGTTTACAATTTACTCCTTTCTATGAGCGAATCTGTTTAAAAGTAAATATGAAATTTCTATAAAAAAATAAAATAAATGAAGTTAATTCATTACTTTTTTTTAATTTCAAAAAGATTGTTTATTGTTTATTTATATTTATTTTAAAATGTTATTGATTCAAATGAACTAAAATTAAGTTTAACAAATATCATTGATTTTAGTCGATCCAACTATAGCAGAAAAACAAACAAAAAAGGTAAATAGGATGCAAAACATCATCAATAAAATCAATTAATCAATATGGGGATATATGTAAAGCTCTTCCTTGTTACAACCTTACACCCATCCGAGCAACCACTTACCTCTTGTTTCAACAGCAATTATTGCGATGTCATTTTGGGGGGCCCAACTCCCTCTCCATTTCGTGAACGCATTCTAAAGATTTCCCGTGAAAAAACTAGAGATGTCTCTTATATTATTTTTAACTTGTCGAAATATCTACGTAATTTAATAATTATTTGGTTTGAATGTTACATAAGGAACAAAAACCAGAGGAAAAAAGAGAGGAAAAACCTAAAATATAGAAGATTATAGCATGAGCCTAGTGATTTCATTTACGATTCTTTAATGTGTTCTCCACAGATAACAATTTTCATATACTATTAAACTTTACTTGAAAAGCAAAATCCTCTAGCTTCGCTACTGAAAGGTCACCATTAGACTAGGTTTGAAAAGGTCGAAGATTATACATTAAGGATACACTTATTAAAAAAAGAAAAAAAAGACAAGATTGAAGGATGGAATATTAAAGATGATAAGTACGTAAAAATTACATAATGGATCCAATAAACATTTAATCAAATTTCGATTTCATTATAATTACTAAATAATTTCGATTTAACAAAATGGATGTATAGATAAGGTAATCATATATATGAACGGAAATATGGCATCTTTATTACCGATTTAATGACATTTTTTCTTTCTATCTATTGTAATTTGATAATTTTATATTTTTAACATCAAATTAAATCATTTTAAAATTTTTAATTTCTGTTATATATAACCATCAACGGAATTTACCATTAAATAAAATATCGAAACAATGATGTTTTGTGCATTCCTTTGTTATTTTTTTTTTAATGTTTGAAAAAATTAAACTTAGCAGTATGGGGTCAAGCTAGGGGGATTCGCCTGTCTTATCCTCTCAATCTAACAATTGAAACGGGAACGGGGAGAGAGAAGAGAGCGTATTTCATCAGTTGATACCGAGGTTCAGTTTCTAGCGAGACTAACAGGACATCCTTGATCAGAAGTTGACTCATCCTTTACTTTACTATGATCTTCAATCAAGCGTTGCAAGAATTTGTCCCTCTTTTTATGCAATATAGCCAACCTCTTCTCAATATTATTTAATCCAAACGGTTTCAATACTGGCACAAACTCTATAGCTCCGCTTAATTCAAAGGTCTCTGTCACAATTTCTTTGAACTCCTTTGGTTCTTTCCATAACATTGCTTTTCAACAATTATCTGCATAAAAACATTAAGTGTCAGCTCAAAAAAAAAAAAAAAGGTTGAATTGGCATCAATTTTCATGAACTCACCACCCTTTGAACCTTTAAAATGTTATTGGATTTGTTGAATGAAGCACTTTCAACTGTATGGGGCCATCAGTGACCGTGTCTAGATTCAGAAGAAAGGTCATCGGTTCGGGGCTGTGGGGGTTCGGGGTGAGAGAGGATCGTGGTGGCTGGAGTTTCGGTAGTGGGCTTGAGGAGTGGCTGGGCAATGGGTTAATCGGCGGGTTTATGGGTATGTAGTGGAGGGTCTCGGTGTCGAGGTCTGTGTTGCTATGGTTTCAACCAGGAACGACGACGGTGACGTCATGGCTGGGTGAGTGAAGATCGGCGTTTGGTGAGGTTTTAGGGGTGGAGTTGCAGTGGGCTAGTGGGTTTTTGCAGGGTGGAGGGGTTGTTATAGGCGACGGCATGGCTGGGTAAAGGCGGCCGGCGGTGGGGGGCTCAGATTTAGGTGGCGGCTAAGGTTTTCTGAGGAAAACGATGGTTGCTATGCTTTTCAATTGCAATTGAAATCTGTCTTACCCCTTGATTATGATCGGTTAATGTTTTCAAGTTTTTTTTCCCCTTAAAAAAATTAACGTCGAAATGTTAAACGGCGTGGTTTAAAGATTCTGTGTAACAATTATACATAATCGTATCATTACACATAACAAAAATTAATTTATTTAATTATATTTATTTAAAAATTAATATTTTAGAGTTTAAATTATGTAATTTCTTATAAAAATTTAAAAATTTCAAATTATCATTACACATAATAAAAATTGAATAATTTAAATTATATTTATTTAAAAATTTAAATTATATAATTTCTTATAAAAATTTAAAAATATCAAATTATAATAGTACAGAGTAATTTTTACCATTAAATTCTTTGTTATCAATATATATTTAGAAAGATTTCATTTGATCTATTGGATTGAAACTTAAGATAAATTATTAAAAAAGATTAGCTTGAATAGAAAGGTTTCTAATCATTTAAGCAACTGATCTTGGATTTAAGTTTTTTTTTTTTTTACTTATATAAAAAAGATAAATTTTTATGTAAGTAAAAAAACACTCTTTAGGTAGCTATATCTACATTTTGCGTTTGACAAAGATTAATCTTTAGACTCAAGATATCTTAAAAATAAAAAAATAAAAAAAAGGAAAAAAGCTCGAGATAAATTATAATTTTTTTTTAATGAACAAAGACTGTATCGCGGAAATTTATAAATGAAAAGTGAAAAAATTACAAAGGGAACAAATCGGCCTGACCCAATAAATTGGGGGGACTAGGTTTACCTCTAAGAATATTGCATTGGTAAAATTATCCAACTAAAATAAATTGAAACTTCTCCCGATATACTACCCAATAAATTAGTTTTCTCCTAAATCTCGCTAATCCATAGTAGTCTTTCCCAAGAGCCACCTGGACTGAATCAGGGACGGTATCCAATGAGTGGTATATAACTTGGCTTTCGTGAGCATAAACGTGATTTGCTAGTCTATCAACAACGCAATTTTCTTCCCTGTAGGCGTGCATAATTGTAGTATCCTCTAAAATTTATTTGCATTTACGCAATGTATATAATAACGACCATGGGACTGTAGCTCGCCCATTAATAGCATCCACTACAAGTTTAGAGTCCAATTTTACAAATTGAATGAATATATTATTTTCCTTGCACAGTTCAAGCCCTTTCAAAATAGCACCAACCTCTCCTTTATTGTTTGTGCCCATGCTATAAAATGACGAGAAAGCAAGTATTAGTTTGTCATTCACATCTCTCACAACTCCTCCTCCCGTGCACCTACCGTTCCTAACAGAACCATCACAATTCAATTTAAGAGTTGGTGGGGGACCATGTAATCCACTTGCCTCCTCTCACCTTTGCTGGAATGAAAATCGATTTTGTAAGTTTTGCAAAAGTATAGAAGTCTGTCAGACAACCGCATGACCATCCTCTAGCCAGATCAGTGGCCTAGGAACGATCCTCTACAGCAATGATGATCGCACTAACCATCAAACCTTTACTCACGCTATGAACACACGGTTATGATTCATTAACCAGACTTGGGTTCTTGTCTCCTTAGTGATTAAGGATATAGACGTACGATCCTATAGAATAGATCACGTTCAAGTAAGGTCGTTAGAGATAAATTATAAGTAGGATTAATTAGACGTAAATATATGCCACATTTGTAAGAAGTCAATAATGAAATTCAAACTTAAAATCTTAAATTGAATGAGTCTTCTCATTATTATTTAAACAAATTTCTTGAAGGTATAATGTACTCTGATGATATCTAATAATTATATACAAGTACTTAAAACTGAGTTATAAGTTTGAGAAAAAAAAAAAAGTGAGAAAAAATTTAAAATATGAAATTTCTCCTTTTAAAATTTTTTTCCACCCACTTAGATCGTGGGATTAAATGTATGTTAACCCCTGAACTCTTTCTCCAGCACTAAAAGGTACCAGACATGACTAAAAGCAGTGGACATAAATTTAATCTCCTTAATCTTCAAACAAACCTAAGAGTTCTAATAAAGTTGTTATTGAAATATAATAAACTTACGTATTGGTAGCCATATGCATTGTCAGGATACTACATATTAATATTTTTTTAATTAAAAATAGTATTCAGTTTCTTAAAAAAAATTGTTAAAATTATTATTAAAAAATAAACTTCATTTTTGCCTCTCTAGATTTATCAATGTTTTAGATATTACAAATATAAAAAAAGACACGAGATGATAAAAAGAGAAATGAAAAAAATAAAATAAAAATATGAACAAAGTAAATTTTTTGTTAGATATTTAGTAGTGAAGGGAAAGTTTAGAAAACTATAAGGATAATACTGGGAAATTTCAACATGTGGGGGTAGAAGTGAAACATTGATGAATGTAGAAGGATAAAATTATACTTATCTTATGATTTAACAGCTAATCTGATGAATATGCTAAACTTGCGCATCCTTTAATCAATTTGTTCAAGATTTTTTGCGTTTGTAACTTGGAAAGCAATTAATCATAAAGATAAGGATTCAGGACTAATGAAAATTATGAAATGGTAAAGCCAGCTAGTGCTAGGTGCTCAATTGACCAGGAAATTGTGCTTGAAAAACCCACCGAAATGAGGAAATTAATGGCACATCGACAAAGCTGCGATGACTCTCAAAGGCCTATACTCCACATATATATACAAGTTTTTCAAGTTAATTGGATGAACAATGATAATAGGCCAAAAGCAATAATTGATTAGATTAAAACAACTAAACTATAAATGTGAAAATAGGTCATAAGTCAGTGAAGCTAGTGGGGTGATGGCATTTAGGAATCAATATCATATTTATGGCTATTACACCCCTTGGGATTTCCCGTCTCCTAGACACATCTTGTACTGCTGCAATTACATCCCTCAAATAATATCCCAAAAGGTTTTGAAAAAAGAACCAGTGGTGCACTAAGATCATCCAGAGCAAACACTGCCTTAGCTAGCTTAAATTTTATGAAGCTAAAAGAATCAAGAAACCAACAATATCATTCAACAAAAAAAGCTTTCTTGAAATATGATTCTGAAAACAAGTAGATTGAATTGTGCCAAACAAAAAAGACATTAATCCTCTTTAAAATTTTAATTAGGTCATCGTTAATCAACAAGATGAAAGTCAGAGATCAACTATTCTTTGGCTCTCCTTTCACTAATTAAGGCTAGCTAGCTATATGGCGGAAGAGCTTCTCATTGCTGGCATTAATTGGTTGATTTCTTGGATTGGAGTACGTAAATAATTCAAGGCTAAATTGTGAAATACCCCTGAACTTGAGGAAACAAAAACTCCCTGAACTAAAAAATTCATGATTTTTCCCCCTAAACAATGTGATTTTTTTTTAATTTGTCCATTTCATTAGGGTTCCATTAAGAAATTGATTGAAAAAACTCAAAAAATCCTTCCGATTCCTATCCTTTTTCTACTAACTTAGAAAAACATATTTATTAACAGAGAAAAAAGAGGAATTGAGAGGATTTTTAAAGGCCCTTCTGTTAATTTCTCAAAATCTGAAGAGAATGGACAAATTTTAAAAATCATATTGTTTAGGGAGCAAAATTAGAAATTCTTTAGTTCAAGGGGTATTTTTTATCCATTCAAGTTCAGGGAGGTATTTTATAATTAAAAAAAAAAAAAAACTAAAAGAACTGGATGTGTAGCTGTTCATTTACTGTCGCTACACACCCAGATCTCCCATTCATTGAATATTTTCTGATATGTGTTTTCCTTTGCCTGTGCCGTGTGTGTTGGTTTGATTTATTTTCTCTGTTTGCTCTTTCAAAATCTGGTTTTTTTTTCTCGCTCTTCCCTTTCTTGCTTTATTTCTTTTATGCCTTCAAGCGGCTTTGTGTTATTATATTTTTACCTTTGGTTTGCTTTATGTTCTTCCAATGTTTTTTGTTCTTTTAAGTCATTTTGTTTCTTCATTAATGGAAGATTTAATGCATGTGGCTTGATTTTCTTTGTTTCTTTCTTTTCCTCTACTTTTCCTTTCGTTTTTGCCTGATAGAGATGACGTTGTGCCAATCATTTTTTTATTAGTAGGTTTGCACTTTTTTTTGCCCCCTCCCTTCTTTAGCTAATTTCTTTTCTGTTCTTTTTTTGTCAAGGTATATTCTATTACTAATTATCCTTTTTTGTCATTTTCTCGTTCTCATTGCCGAGCAGCTGTAGTAACTTGCTTTTTGTCCTTTTTTTCAGCTATATTTTCTTTCCTCGACCAGTCAAAAGAGTACAAAAAAAATAAAACTATTAAATGAAGATAATGTAATCTTGAGAACCAATAATTGATTGCCACTTCATCAATCTTATCTCTAAATTTTACCAAACCACTCTCTCTCTCTCTCTTTCTCTTATTAGCAGTCCATACAAAGGGAAAAAAAAACATTACATGTCTCTCTCTTTCTCTATCATTGCTTTTGAGTAATAAAAGAAATGAAATTTTAGCTACGATGGAACGTCAGACAAATTCTTTTTTTCTTTTACTTGGTTTGTGTTTGAATATGAAAATTAAATGGAATAAATTTTTTTGAATGAAATGACGAGAATCAGCAATGGTGATGATCGTGCTATAAAGAAACCTGAGATGCACATAACAGAATATGCAGCTGTGTGGGATCTTCATTTGGGTTTCTTTTTTCATTTTTCTTAACTTTCATTATTGGCATGTGAGTTTGACTGTAATTTTGTTTTATGTTACTATAAAGCTTGGCTAAATTAAACTGCCTACAAGATAGGTGATTTTCTATTCTTTTAATTTATTAATCTATTGACTTACACTGCTTGCTCAGTTGTAATTATTTGATGCATTGAATTAAATTATTTTCTTTATATAATAGTTTGATTGACGTTTTTGAAATAGTATAGATTGTTGGTCACTTTTTTTA